AAAAAAAAAAATCATGTCTTAGCTATTCACCCTTTAGAAGATAACACAACAGAACAACACAGAATCACACAGCTCCACATGCCTCAGTGTCTGTTACAGCCATTTTTTTCTTACATATATTTCTTTCTACATTTAATCGGGAAAAATCACAACTCACATTTTTGGATGATGTTTACAGTCAGGAAGACCTATAGGTTTAATGTTAGTGGGGCTGGGAAGCTGCAGTAGCATGATGTCATGAGACCTGTCGTTGTTGTTGTTGTTGTCTTTGTCCACATAGATGACAGGTTCTGCTGTGATTTGCACTTCCTGTGCTGGACTCCCTGGAGTCACACTTACATTTGCAAACATAGTCCTACATGTAGGTAGAGGTTAAAGATGAACATTAAACAATTAAACACATTCATCATTAATACTCCAGCTGCAGTTCTTTTTCTAATCTATATTTGTTTTGTCTTTATACTATACAAGTCTATATGTTCATAGTGTTTCAGTGTTACAGTGTTTTTGATGTAGATCTGTCATTTTCTCACCGTCCTGGCTTCAGACAGTGGGCTGCAGTCAGAATCCACCGGTTACTGATCAGAGAGCCGCCGCACGGGCTCCACGATCCGTCAGCAGCCACTCCCCTCAGTCTGACGTGGTACTGACGCTCACATTGTCGACCTCCGATGATTCTCTTCTGCAGATCCGTCCCTGAGCTCACTGTGACTCCTGAAAGAGAATCCTCCACCAGGTGACCGTGAGCTGGGACAGTAGAATACACCTTATCTGCGCTCAGTCGAATAGAAAAAGGTGGAGAACCCCGTTAGGAGAACAGGCAATATGCAAGCATCCCAAGCTGACCAATCACAGTTCTTGACAGTCCGACACAGTTCCCATGTGGTATCTTTGTAGCCGCCACAGCTATGCCGGGCTACAGACGTCCCTTAAAGTACAACTACAGACTAAATCCAGTCCTATGGAGTTTTTTATGTAAACAGAAAAAGTTCCTGTTATTCCACAAAATGCTATGAATGTGTTAATGAGACCTAAAAAATGTGTAACAAACAAATATTTGCTGATTTTGGTGCATGAGAAAAAACAATGAGGACACACACTTAAAGACGTTGCTTCATAGCACGACAGGATAACTGTGAGGTTTTACGCCACTTTTACGCCACTCATTTTCATAATGACCCAAACACAAACATTGACGGCACCAGGGCAAGTGAGAGGAGCAATAACATTATATGAAATGGATTAGCAAGACGTAAAATTACATTATTGAAACAACGACAACAAGGTAGAGAGAATATCTGAATCCTCACCGAGCCACGGCAAAAAGAGAAGAAGCATCAGACGAGTCATTTCTGTCTTTCACCCTGTGGTGACTCTGCCAGCAGCTACCAGTCAACTCATAAAGGCTTCAACACAGACCTGCTGCTGGATATTCATGCAAAGTTTTCATCACTATCAACAGTTCCTGCTCTTGCCTTCCATTAATTGAAATTTAATCCTGCCCCACTGAGGAACTCACTTACTGTTTGTCCCTCATGTGATTTGTGATTTTCATTACAGAGAAAAATGTTCAAAATGTTTATTCATGAAATTAAAAGGGTCACGGATCATTAGGAATTTCATAAATATAATACAAATGTGAACATTCAGAGCCAATGCAGGAAGTAGTGCACCCTTATAGCTAGAGGAAAGTAAAGGGATAGAGGTCAGAGTGGTGGATCGGTGTGTTTGTTGCAGACCAAAAATGAGTGTTATTCACCATGATTTTCTCCACCCTTAACCAAACCTTAATTTAAATTTACTTTGTCACTGAACATGAAAACATGTTATTGAATGTAATCTGTAAATTTACTTTTGCATAATTGTCCCATATAAATGTTCTGGTTTGGCAATAGGGTCACATAAAAAAAAAGAAATCATCAGAAATACCTGAAATGATGCTTTGTAAAAGGGAAGATGACACACCATTATAATAAAAACTGTTGATAAATAACTTAACTTAGCCATGAACAATTTAATGCTAATTTCCTAATAAAACCAAATTGTCCAACAATTGTTACTTTTGTAATTTTATTACTTGATTATCTGATGTTACAATAGTTAAAACAATCATCATGTTTACGTCCACTGAACAGAGGAAGAATTACATTTAGATGATAATTATAATAAACAGTTTTTTTTTGTTTCTTTTTAAAAAGCATTTTCTGGGTAGAAAAATAAACAAAACAAATGTATGCATGTATATATTATTTGAACAGGACTGTTGTATTAGGCTACATTAGTTTCAGCTAGGTGTACCTAATAAACTGCCAACTTAGTGTATGTAGCTGATGATGATGGGTAACAAGTAGACATTGCTTTGTTATATAAAAAGGATTATACTGTATGATGCATAATAAAGAAATCTGGGGTTCGAGAATTTACCAATCTTCATATATATATACCATATATTCATATAGGCAGCATGCTAACATGCGAGATAAGAACAAGATAACAAAACAAACAACAAAAAGCTCATGCCGACAAATTACTCAAGATAAAAAATAAAAACAATAAAAACACCCTGTGTTACCCTCTGGTCTTTTAGGAATCAAATAGATTTATTCTCCAGGGGATCAAGCCCTTAAATTTGGACACAGTCTATGTACAAAGATCTTAGACAAATGTGTGAGGAGAAATCTTCTTTATCGTTGCCCTTTGATGGCAGATCACACTCAGTTCAGTGTTTTTAATGCCCTCTAGTTTTCTTCTTTATTTGCAAAGCAGTGGTAAATAGTTCAAAAACAAAAACAAAAAACAAAAAACAAAATGAACAATCCTTAAGTAAAGAGGCCAAGGATGAAATACTCCTGAAAACCGAAAACTCCTGAAAATAGAAACTATAACTATTTCTATCCAATTTTAATACCAGTTTTACATGGTTATAGTGACAAACAGTTCACATTTAAAGACACACAAATCACACAAGGTTCATTGTAGAGCTGAACTCTCATCATTTATTTATTATGAATGTTTAGTTGTTTCAGTCTACTAAATAGTGTTGTTGATCCAGGTAATGTAATCACAGACTCTTGTGAACATAACTGGAGCCATACATGCATATTTATTACTACCGTTATAGACGCCATAAATTTTGGTGCCCACCACAGCTCCACTGCCAGAGTCACCCTGAGGAAGAAAACATGATTATTCTTAAGTATACATTGTATATAATGTCATTTTACTCAATTATTGAAATATTGTTTAGAAAAATTAAAATGTTCAAAACATTGGCTGACTACACATCAGATATTTAAAGGTAAGAAGCCATGCCAACTCACTCCAGCTGTGTCCACCCCGGCTTCTTGTCCACAGAAAAAGTTACCATATGGCTGATTTGGAAAACATTGTTGTATGCCAGTTTTGATATTGCTACAGTCAACAACTGTCATATCTGTGCAGTGGAGAACATTGTAGGCCTGGAGAACTGGAGGAGGATAGAAAAGACAACATTTCAAAAAGAAGTTTCTCCCAGGATAAAAACATCTTTCAGGCTCTCGATTCACTCTAAATCCAAGAGCAGATGACTAAAATGTTTTGCCCTGTTTAAAACATGTAGGTAAAATGACAAGGATCTAAAAAGTCTATGGTAAAATTATGACTTAAAATCAGAATAAAACGTCAATTAAGACAGAACTTCTGGCAGACAGGACAGAACATTACTGCAGCTATTGTTGATAAAGAAAGGAGCCCATCTCAGCTGAATGGTAGATTTCTTTTCTTACATAATTGAAGTGTACAAATTTGAGATTTTTTCCTGTAAAAACAGGATATTAGCAAATAGAAATCCCTGAAAAAGGAAATCTTCCCTATGAACATAACCATTATCATCATAAAATAGATAATTAAAAGTCATCTTACCTTTTACACCTTTGGCATCTACACCATGGACATAGCCTGAAACCTTAAATTTGTCATTCCTAGAAAATAAAAATACAAAACAATTTTTAGAGAAAGAAAGCAGCCTTTAAAAAACACTTTCTAAAGAATAAAACAATACCCAGAATATGAAGACGTCAAGAACACACAGCATCTGATGCAAACAGTCCTGCTGTCCTTTTAGCTGAACATCTTTGTATCTTGTGCGCACAAGTTATTATTAGATGAAAAATGAATCTTGACAATTTTTGTGAGCTCTAAAACTACTAAAACTATATACTATACATATTTCTTTAGACAAGAAACCTGATTTCCTTGTACACAGAGATGGATACATCTACCACAACATTACATTACACAAGTGAAGTTCTGAAGACGTCGGGCAAGTCAATGTGAAATTAATGGCTTTGAAAAATATAATCAATTATAAATTATTACTCAATTAATTGATGCCTTTCCAACGTCCCTGGTGTTTCAGACATTAATTGAATATTTCTTCTTTTTACTGTCTCAGATCACATGTCAAACTTATGTTTCTCTGTCTATCAGAAAAATCTAAATAGGTCTGAAAACTAAACATGTAAATGAGACCTACAGTATCTGACATTTGGTCATCGTGTCATCATGGATAGACGTGGATGTGAAACATGTTGCCTCATCTATAACTGCAGCTCCTGAGCAGAGGTGGATATCCTATAGCATCTAATAAAACTCTGACAAAGAACTGCACTTATTGTTGAGAGAGAGAGAGAGAGAGAGAGAGAGAGAGAGAGATCACAACTCACACTTTGATATCAGTTGTACAGTCTGAAACATTTGGAAGATCTATTTTATGGATCTTTTTAGGTTTCTGCTTTAGCTTCAGTAGCACGATGTCGTGTCCTTTGCTGTTCTCCGTATAGATCTCATATCTTATGATTTCGAGTGTCTCCATTTCGTTACCTGGGTGGAAATTTACATCTGCATACATGGTCCTACAAGTAGAAGAAAAAGAGAAACATCACTTAGTTAAATACATACATTTGTAACAGATCTGTCTGTCAATTATCCATCTCATTTTGATTATTATCCATAGAAAAACATGTACTTTAGACGTCTGTGGTCTTCATGAGTCCCACAGAATTACTTACACAAACAGCACCAGTTACTGTATTTAGACATGCAGTCTTCAATGCAATGTCATTTTCATTAGGGACACCTCAATTGTCAGTTCATCTTCAAGAGTTTCACATTTACTTTAGTCATTAATTATAAATGTATTTCTCACCTTGAATTATTCCAGCAGTGAGCTGCAGTCAGAATCCACTCGTCACTGATCAGAGAGCCACCACAGAGTGACATAAATGTTCCATCAGTTGCTCTCAGCCTGACGTGGTACAGACGATCAGTTTGACCACAAAGGACACCCTTATAGATTCTCTTCTGTAGATCCACTGGTGTACTCACTGCGACACCTGAAAGAGAAAGTCCTCCACCAGGTGAGTGTGAGTTAGAAACAAACAGCTGTAAAAGTCAAAACGTTTTGCTTTGTCAAGGAACAGAATTGAAAAGTCTTTGTTATTGGAGATACATGATAAAAACAAGGCCTACACATATCAACCACACTTCAATTGTTTCTATACTCACCGACCCACAGCAGAAAGTAAAGAAGTGCCAGAGAAGCCATTGCTGTCATTGAC